GCCTACAACGCCCGAGGCCACAAACAGGGAGGAGCGGCCAGCAGGCGGGAGGGCAGGGAGTCAGAAGCCTTAGCTGCACCCTGCTAGCCCCCAGCTTGCAAGCGAGGGATACCTGAAAACTCCCCATCGATGGCGAAGAAGTCGGCCTCCTCTATGGCCTGGTACACTTTGTGAAGATTACTCTTAAAATCTGTGAAGAAACCGAGAAGCAGCTCAGAAACGGTGGCCTGGCTTTCTGCCCAAGAGGTCCTAACGGGAGAGGAAAGAAGGGCTGGGGAGATCCTGAGACCTCGGGCTGGAGGAGGACAGGTCCTAGAGGGATAAACAAGACGGAGAGTATCAAGTCCCAGACCGGTGCACGGTTGGAGGGGGTCAAGGGCCCAGGACAAGCTCCGGGGGGTGCCCGGGCCACAGAAGCACACGGGCCACAGAGGCACACGGCCTTGGGGGATGCCCGGGCAGGAGGACAAGGCCCCTAGGGGTGCACGGGACAGAGAGGGACAGGGCTCCCAAAAGCTCACAGACTTAAGAGGAAGCAACCCCTGAGGGGCTGCCTCAATCCAGGCCCGGCCAAGCAAACCGGCCCTGGTCTGGGCCTAGCAAGCCGGGCGAGGGGAGCCGTGGGGACTCGGGGAGGTGCACGGAGGACACGCACTGCTCCTGATTATCTCCATTCTGCAAAGTGGCCTGAACCCCGGCCCCGCCTGGGCCCGCCTCAGCCGTTCTACTCGCAAAGTTCCGCGGGGACCGCAACAGCAGCGGAGGCAGCAGCCGGGAAGACCACGGCGGCGACTTCCGGAAACAGCGCGCGGTGGCGCGCGTCACGTGGGCCTGCGTCAGCGGCGGGGGCGGAGCCAAGCTGGGCTCCTTTCACTCTTTCCAGGGACAGAGGCGGAGTGTGGTGGTGGGAATCCCGGGGATGGGGTCTAGCTGGCTCTGCCAGACTTGGGGACCGTAACTTCCGAAGAAATGTTCATGCCTTGACACCCAGTTGGTGAACAAATATTCCCTGGCAACATTATGTGCCAGGCACTCTGAAACGGATGGGGATACGGGGATGAATAGAAGAGAAAGTTCCTGCCCCGTTGGAGCTTAACGGGGTAAAAGGGGAAAGTCAGGCAGGACTGAAACTTGCCACTTGGAAACACAATCAGCGCTGTGAAGACAAAGAGCCCGGTGCTGCAGTGAAAATAATTTAGGTTGGGCGGGGGGCGGTGAAGACGAATAGGAAGGAGGGTCACTTAAGAGAGGTGAGGAGCATGCAAACCTGAGACCTTTATCTACTGCACTAGTTAAAGGGACTGGGGAGATCTTGCTGGTTTGGACGGTTGGGAGTATACGATTGCTCCTCAGAGCGTACAACGGTGTTGATGCACAGTAGATGCTAAGTAAACGTAGGTTGAGTGAGTGAATTCACTTTCATCTTTCACAAAAGCCGACTCTGAAGTTGTTTAGAAGACCTGCTTTCAATGGCTAGGTCTGCCATTAATTACGTCTGGGATGTATTCAACCTTCCTAAACCTCAATTTTCTCATCCACTAAATAGGGCTGAAGATAAGTGGAGATAAAGTCTGAATTATGGAGTACTGTATAAATAAGTGTTAGATATGATTAGAGTTCGGACTTGTCACAATTCTCCTGCATTCACACCTCTTAGTTTGAGATTTATTGAGTACAAAATCCGTTTGTCTTTGGAAAAAAGGATAACCATTTTCCCCCAAAAGGAAGCATCAAGTACTCTAAAGAATACAGAAGAGTCTGGACATATTTTCCCCACCAATTCCCTCCACGAGTTCATTTCCTTTGCCTCATTCAATGGAAATTTACATTGAGCTAACTATGTTCACTATCCCTAGTGTGAACAGCAGAGAGTGAATGTGAATGCTAGAGTTCAGATGGAATGGGAAAGAGGGAAATACAGATAGTCAAACTTCAGGCTTGAAATATCCTCTCTACCTTCTTGTTGCAGCTTAAGAAGTCTCATACAGAAAGTACTAGACACATATGGCCACTTAAATTTAAATTTTAAGTAACTGAAATAATTTTAGATAATTTAAATAAGATCTATGTAATTTAGATAAATAATGAAACTTACTACAAAGCTATAGTAATCAAAACAGAGTGGTATTGGCATAAATAAAGACCTAGAAACCAACGAAATAGAGACCCCCCCAAAATAAACTTTTGCGTAAATGGACGTATGATTTACAGCAAGTATGTAGAGATCATTCAATGGGAAAAGAAGAGTCTTTTCAACAATAGTACTGGGAACACTGGATATCCACATACAAAGAATGAAGTTGGATCCTTACTTTATACCATATAAAAATTAACTCAAAATAGATCAAACATCTAAATGTAAGAGTTCATGAAAGTGCAAGATTGTCAGCATAAAACATAAGGCAAAAGCTTCATAATATTGGATTTGGCAATGATTTTTTATAAATATGATACCCAAAGCACAGGCAACAACAACAACAACAACAACAACAACAAAAACAGATGAATGGGACTACAACAAAACTTAAAATATTCGTGAATGAAAGGATTCTATCAACAAAGTAAAAAAATGGGGTGTCTGGGTGGCTCAGTCAGTTAAGCAGCTGCCTTCTGCTCCAGTCATGATCCTGGGATCCTGGGATGGAGTCCCGCATTAAGCTTCCTGCTCCGTGGGGAGCCTGCTTCTCCCTCTCCCTCTGCCCCGTCACCCTGCTTGTGCTCTCCTCAAATAAATAAATGAAATCTTTAAAAAAAAAAAAAAGTAGAAAGTCAACCCATGGAATGGGAGAAATCATATATATGTATATATATATATCTGATGAGGGGTTAATATCATTAATATATAAAGAACTCCCACAATTCAATGACCAAAAAATCTGATTAAAAAATAAACGAAGGACATGTATAAACATTTCCCCTCAAAAGGTATACAAATGACCAATAAACACGAAAATTTGCTCAACATCACTAATACAAATCAAAACCATATTGAAAGGTGCCTGGGTGGCTCAGTGGGTTAAGCCTCTGCCTTCGGCTCAGGTCATGATCCCGGGGTCCTGGGATCGAGCCCTGCATTGGGCTCTCTGCTCAGCAGGGAGCCTGCTTCCCCCTCTCTCTCTGCCTGCCTCTCTGCCTACTTGTGATCTCTGTCTGTGAAATAAATAAATAAAATCTTAAAAAAAAAAACCCATATTGAGATAATCTTTCACATCTCTTAGTTAAGAAGCTGAAATTCTTCCATGCTGTTGATGGGAGGGCAAAATGGTGTGGCCACTGTGGAAAACAGTATGGGGATTCCAAAAAATTAAAATTAGAATTATCATATAATGCAGCAATTCCATTTCTGGGTATACACCAAAAAAATATTGAAAAGAGAAGCTTGAATGGATATTTACACTCCTGTGTTCTTAGTAGCCTATTCATAATAACCAAAGGGAGGAAGCAACCCAGTGCCCATCAACAGATGAGTAGATAAGCAAAAGGTAGTATATACTTAGAATGGAATATTTTTTTAAATTTTTTTTTAAGATTTTTATTTATTTGACAGAGAGAGATCACAAGTAGACAGAGAGGCAGGCAGAGAGAGAGGGGGAAGCAGGCTCCCTGCTGAGCAGGGAGCCCAATGCGGGGCTCGATCCCAGGACCCTGAGATCATGACCTGAGCTGAAGGCAGAGGCTTAACCCACTGAGCCACCCAGGGGCCCCTTTAGAATGGAATATTACTCACCCTTTAAAAGGAAGGAAATTCTGACACATGCTACAAGATAGATAAACTTTGAGGATATCATGCTAAATGAAATAAGTCAGTCACAAAAAGACAAAGTGTAATTCTACTCATATGATGTACCTAGAATTGTCAGATTCACAAAAATAGGAAGTAGAACGGTGGTTCTCAGAGGCTAGAGAGAAAGACAGGTGGGTGGGGAGGATGGGTTGGTGTTAAACGTTTAACAGTTACGGAGTTTCAGTATGGGAAGGTGAAAAAGTCCTGGAGACGGATTCTGGTGATAGTTGCACAACCATGTGAATGTACTCAATGCTACTGTACTGTACACTTTAAAAATGGCTAAAATGGTAAATTTTATGTTATGTATCTTTTTTCTTTTTTTTTTTTTTTAAGGTTTTATTTATTTATTTGACAGAGAACACAAGTAGGCAGAGAGGCAGGCAGAGAGAGAGAGGAAGGGAAGCAGGCTCCCTGCTGAGCAGAATCCTAGCCTGGCTGGCTCCCAGGATCCTGGGATCATGACCCGAGCCAAAGGCAGAGGCTTTAACCCACTGAGCCACCCAAGCGCCCCAAATTTTATGTTATGTATCTTTCACCAAACACACACACACACACACGGTGACACCTAGTGCCAAATTATTCTCCAGAAAATGAATTCACACTCTCCCAGCACTAGCACAGGACCAGTCTTTCAATTCTTTGCCAGTTTGATCTACAGAAAAATGTCATCCCAAATGACCAGTTTATCAACCTCCAGGCCAGTGGTTTAAAACAGATAATCAGCATGAATTCTCAATGGACCAAGACACTGGGAGGAAAACACGGTGGTAAAGTCATTTTATTTCCAGTTCTTAATAGTGCAAATGAAACTCCAGCCAAGGTCCTGGGATTTTTCTGCATGAGATGCGGAGTCAAAAAACAAAACAAAACAAAACATATATGGGGACCGCAGTGAGATCTTATAATACTGAGTTTCTGGGTAAAACTGTTTTCTCCCGACACAGAAACAGCCTAGCGGGACAGCCAAACTCCGAAACCAGCCTTACCCTCAGGCTGTAACTCGGGGGTTCTAAGTCTGGCCCCGGAGAGTAAAGGGCGGGACCAGAGGTGGCACGCAGGCGCCGAAATCCTCGGCCCGGGCGTGGCCGCTCTAGGCAGCGGGGAGGTCGTGGGGTTGAGAGGGTTGAAAGAGTGCTGTTTCTCCTCTATGGTCGCAGGCCGGGGGCTCGCTTCTCCGCAGTCAGTCCTTAGTTACTTCCGGGAGTGAAGCGAACGCCTTCTCTTCTGCTTCCGCGGGGTCCGGGAGGCGGCGGGCGGCCAGGTGGGCCGGGAAGGAGCCGAGTGGTAAGCCCCAGCGTGGCGGGGGAGGGAATGGGGGAGGCCCGGGCTCGATTTCGGGGCTGCGTGTGGAAGACGGCTATGGGAGACGGGTCGGAGGAGGTGCGCTGGGCTCCTCACCCGGGCCCGGGTCGTGGGCATCCGCGGTCCCGGCCACTAGGCGCGGACCCCCGGGTGGCCAACTCCCCCAGTCCCTTCACGAGAGCACCACGTCGGCATGGCGGGTCGCCGGGTCTCGCCTGCGTCCCCTCGGGGGTCAGGGTCAGAGCCGGCGACTCCAGGACCTCCCGGGGCGCGAGGGAGGGAGCATCGGCTTCCATACACTGTGGAGGAGGGGGGACTTAGGGACGCCCACCCCGCAGGAGCCCCTGCCGCAGCCTCTGGCGGCGCGTCCGGAATTGATCAGGATCCTGATAGACTGAACTTCGGGTCTGATGGGCGAGGTAGTTCCTGCCCTACAGCGAAGCGATTGCTCCCGTTATAAAATAGGGTAACAGATGCGCACAAAAGGGAAAGTGAAACCCCAAAAGTCTCACTGGGGTTAAGCTAGAACCCAGCTCTTGTGGTTCCGAGCTCACGGCTCCTAATGGAAACTTGTGCAAAAGGGAGTTTTCTTTAAAAGAAAAAAATAAAAAGGGGTACATGGGACTTAGATTGTGTCTAACTGAGGATCTTTGGCGGGGCAGGAGGCCCTGTCATTACCCAGGGCGGCTTGCCCCCACCCCCCAACTTTGGTGGCGGGGGAAAAAGAGCCCAGACGCTGTCATGCCCTCAGCTGTCGCCGTTGGGTCCTCCCCGCTAAAGCCCATTGGTCGGTCCTTTGGAGGGTGGTCTTGATGTCATCCTCGGAAAGGCCAATAGGAAGAAGCTTTACTCTCTTCCCGGGGCACATCCCAGAGCCGGCGCAGAGCGCACGTGCGGATTTAGGTTGTTTGGTTTGTTCTTGTGAGGGCTGTTTTGTAAACAGCCAGTCTAGGTGTCTGATGGGTTCCGCATTTCGCCGCCTGTCTCCATAAACATGTGGGGAAAACTGTGTGCTCTAGTGCTCGACGCTGACACTACTAACGTGGCTGGAGCTCAGTATGTGCAACTATTAGTAAGTCTTACTATTCAGTAGACTCTTTGAGTACCTATGGACAGAGTTTGTCATTTAAACCTCCTTCAGAGCAGATACTGAACTTATGAATGGGAATTAAGAGGCTCAGGAAGAATAAATGTGAACCGTTTGGAACCCACATCTCTCTATGCCTAAGAACATACCTTTTTAAGTATACAAGACTCTCCGTGGAAATTACAGCCTGGGAGGTGAAGAAACACACACAAATGAATGTTATGTTAATGCACAGAGGCAGAAAGGGTTGATTTGAGTGTGAGGAGAGTTACTCATTAAAGACTTTCAAGTGCCAGGGGATTTGGATCTTGTCATTTGAAACCTTCGACCCAGTGATGGTGTGGAACTGCATTACAGATGACCCGAACAGTGTGATACAGGAAAATGCCCAAGGAGCAGGAATTAAGAGATGGGACCAAAGTGTCATCTGTGACTAGATGAGTAGTAGGAGATAGTTATCATAATAGTAATAGCTAACATTTATGTTGCACTTTTGTGCAGGGCACTATTCTGAGTGCCATGCGTATGTCCTTTTAATACTATCAGCACCCCTTTCAGTAATGTGGTATTAATATCCCCATTTTACAGATGAGGAAATTAAGGCACGGAGATTAAGTGACTTGCTGGAGGTCACACTGTGAATTTGTGGAGCTGGGATTTAAAACCAGTCAATCTGGCTCCAGTCTTTGTGCTTTTTTTTTTTTTTAAAGATTTTATTTATTTATTTGACAGAGAGAGACAGAGATCACAAGCAGGCAGAGAGGCAGGCAGAGAAGGGGGGGAAGCAGGCTCCCCGCTGAGCGGAGAGCCCGATGTGGGGCTCAATCCCAGGACCCTGAGATCATGACCCAAGCCGAAGGCAGAGGCTTAACCCACAGAGCCACCCAGGTGCCCTTTGTGCTCTAATTAAAAAGTTGTGTTTGGGCTCCTGGCTGGCTCAGTCTACAGAGCATGGGACTCTTAATCTCAGGGTCAAGAGTTCAAGCCCCACCATGGTCATGGAGCCTGCTTTAAGGAAAAAAAAAAAAAGTCATTAAAAAGTCGCATTGGTTTGTTGGCAGGACATAAAGATTCTTAAATGATAAGCTCAGAACTATGAGCTTGAGTTTTGATTTGGGCACTGGTCAGAGGAGAGATTGGAGAGAAGAGGAAATGAGATTGGAAGTGTTATTTAAACTTTATTTTGCTCACACCTTACCCATACCTTGTCTGAAGTATATATTTAGGTATATGCATTTATTTATTAGTATGTAACAGCTCTCTAGTCCCCAACTTCTGTGTGCATAAGACTCTCCTAAGGAATTTGTTTAAAATACATGTTCCTGGACCTCTCTCTCAGTTATCCTTATTCAGGTTCACCAAACTTCTGGATGTTTTTTCAGAAGTTCTAAAGAAATTACTACCATAGGAGTCAGACACATGTTGATTTGATTTCCTTCTAAAATATCCAGAACCTGTCTTTGTGCCAGCTACTTCAGGAATGATGAGAGAATTCTGTAGCTTGATACCTGATCTTGAGCTCAGGATTTGATGGGAGGGAAAGACTACTCAAACTGATAATTGAAGTATGCTCACTAAGCAGGTTTTTTTTTTAAATCATGTTATTAGACTTCTATGGCTTTTAACACAGGACAGGTCATTGAGTATATGCCACATAACACAAACAAAAGCGTCTCATGGAAAGCCAGGACACCTGTCAGTATGTTCTCTTGCCCAGCACCACTCACGAGCAGTAAATCATGCAGCCTCCGCGTCCAGGCAGCAAGTCAGCCTCCTGTGAGCTAGCTAGCTACCTTTCCCCTAGTAATTTCTGACTCCTTCCAAAAAGAAAATCTTCTGGATGAGAGTTGATATGGTAAGAGCCCAGAAATGCTTCTCTTGTAGTAATGAACGCCAGTTTCTGCAGCCTGCAAGAAATGCACATAATACTCTCTTTTTATTGCCGTTTCTGCCCCTGGCCTGCTTCCATTTGGACACATTTCTTTTTATTTCATAGTCAGTAGATGTGTGCAGTCACTCTCTTTGCGTTTAAAATGTCTATAGTATTCTGCCAGTGTTTATAGTGTGTCCCCAGAAGCACACCTGTTTCTTTCTTTCTTTTTTTTAAGTTTGTTTATTTACTTAAGTGATCTCTACACCCAGCATGGGGCTGGAACTCATGATCCTGAAATCTGGAGTCACATGCTCTTCTGACTGAGCAAGCCAGCGCCCCTCTCACCCTATTTCTCTTGTGACTGTTCCTGCTTATTTATCTCATGGAAACTCAAGCTCACCCTAACAGCCATAAGCTGGAGTTGATGTTCCAAAATGCAGTGTTGTCATACCCTAGTTTATTTCCCTCAGTTTGGACTTCTCAGCTTCATAGTAGCTGCATAAAGGAGCAAATTAGTCCTTTGAACCATTAACCATTACTGACTACTTCGTTGGACTAATGTAGTATTATGAGGTCAGGCTTTAACTCAGACCATGTTTCAGCACCTGGCTCTGCCCTATGTTAATGAGGCCTCCATTTTCTCATCTGTAAAATGGAGATGAGAGTAATAGTTATCTCATAGGATTACCTTTCACATTGTAGGGACTCAGTAAATATTAGCAGTTGTCATTATTCTCTGTTGCCACATAACATGTAATGAGAAGAAATAAATAGCCTAAGTAAAGGCCCATATGAAGCCAGAATGTTTGTATTCTTGCATTGAAACATCTTTGCTAAGAAATGATTGAGATCTTATTTTCAGGCTGGAATTCCAATAAATTAGCCCTCCAAAGGATTATTCTTAAAATGTTAGGTATGTACTATCGTTAGAACATTTTGTTGAATAAAGAGGTAGTTATCTACCATGGAACAAAGCAGTTTGGAGATTATAACTTTTTAAAGATTTTATTTATTTATTTATTTGTCAGAGAAAGAGAGAGAGCAAATGCAGGTAGAGGCAGAGAAGCAGGCTCCCTGCTGAGCAAGGAGCCCGATGTGGGACTCAATCCTAGGACCCTGGGATCATGACCTGAGCCAAAAGCAGTAGCTTAACTGACTGAGCCATCCAGGCGTCCCTGAAGATTATAACTTTTAAGAAGTTAACAGTCATTAATGTGAAATCTTTATAAGCTAAGGGGAAAAATTCTCCACTTAAACTCAGAATTAATGGCTTCTTTTTTGATAAATCCAATGCAAATTACTGTATTAATTGCTGTTGGGGTGAATAAGGAATCCAGTAGGTGACACCAGTAATGTCAGCTCCTCTAGATGAAGCCACAGATGAGTACTTGAGCAAATCAAACAATTGCCCCTCCGTGGGAGCAGTAGCCAAGTTCCTTGCAGGTTCTTTAATCACTCAGAATAATTGGGAGATTGTTTATATCCCAGCCCTTTTTCTTCCTTCATTGATTTTTCAGGCAACTATAGCATGTCGGTTAGGTATTTCTTAGGGGAAACATAGAAAAGGTTACAGTGATAGAGATCTTGCAATTGCCCAAGTCAACAGACTGTGATCACTGTATCCTATCAGTTGTGCCAACAGACCAAGGCCATGGACATTTTAGAAAAGGTCAACTATATAGTTTGTTCATGTCATATTTTACATATTCATGTTTTCCAAAACTTTCTGCCATTTCTTGACACTGAAATTTTAGAGATGGTATTTTCCTCAGGAAGTAATAGCTTTGCAAGTGTTTTAAAAGTTCCATTGGTGAGCGCACCTGGGTGGCTCAGGTCATGATATCAGGGTCCTGGGATCGAGTCCCGCATCGGGCTCTCTGCTCAGCGGGGAGCCTGCTTCCCTCTCTCTCTGCCTGCCTCTCTGCCCACTTGTGATCTGTCTCTGTCAAATAAATAAATAATTTTTTTTTAAAAAGTTCCATTGGTGAGATGTCAGAACAAGTTGTTGATTATATGGCATGA